ACAAACACCTCCATCACAAGTAAGTCGCTCTTTTATTCATTTGAAAATGCACAGTTGTGATAAACTTCCTCCTAAGTTTCCCCGTTTACATTTGGCGCTAGAAAAAGCTACAACGCTGGAAAAACCACGCTGATTTTGTTCTCGTCGTTGCTTTTGCAGAACCTGCTGCAGTCGTGAATCTCAATGTCGCCGAAGTCACAACATCAACCGTGTCTCTGAACTGGACCGAACCAGAGGGCAAGGCCGACCGGTACAAAATCCTGTGGAGTTCAGGAGGAGATACCTTCAACACCACCACCACGAATGAAACCTTCTATACTATCAGCGATTTAAGCCCAGGATTCCAGTACAACATCACAGTGGCTGCTGTTGCTGGAGAGCCGTCCGTTGAAGGGGAGGGAACCTCAAGAACAACCTTCACAAGTAGGTTTCAGTTTTTAAGCACTAAGTGGGTTTTAGTCTTCCCAGTTGGTGACACTTTAGTTCAATTGCTCTGTAAGTATTTCGATGGTACAACTGACATGAATGTATTCTAATCTGCTCAGTCTCAGCATTAATTCATGCAGGTTTTCATCAATAATAGAAGAACTGTGTACGACATAAAGCTCCTGGATCATAGATTATAGGGTGTACGATTATGGGTCCAAAAGGTATTCAGACAGAAACACATGAAGTTCAACAAAATCATGTAATAAATTGAAGGAAATGCTTTGCAAATAATGACTGGCTTCAACCCAGAAACACTGGAAGAGAGTCGGTATCTCACTCCCACTTTTACTGAAGCCCCCTCCAGCTCTTCCTTATCATTTAACTTGAGTATTCGGAAGCTAAATGCAGGTGTGTTGCTTTGTTAGCCTTCAAAACTCTTTGGCTTTGTGTTATTGCCCAGCTAAATTACAAAACATCCAATGTTTTGGTGTATTTGGCTGGATCTGAGCCCACACCATGCGACTATACACCTCTGCATTCATTTGTTTGGAACCTTCGGCACTGAAAAGTCATCAATAAACGCCAGTGTTTCCGTCAACTCTTGCGGCCACAAACAGAAGCACCAGCTTTTGACTCTTACCTTGTGTTTGGTTTTTGTGGTGAATCTTCTGAGGTTAAAGTCACGCAGTCTTCTCTTGATTCATGACCATCCTGGAGAGCGTTTTTGATGATTTGGTGCGAGTCAAATGGAGACACCACAGAAGGAAGCAAATCAAAATTGAACAAAGTTAACAAAAGACAGGACAAACAACAGAAGATGGTGAATGTCCAACTAAAGGTCTGGGGGATAACTAAAGAACTACTCTAAAAAAACAACCAGAAAAGGGTTCATAAAAACACAAAGCAGGTGTGCGCATGAAGCACCATGAGCTAAACAGGAAGTACCTGAGGGAAGCTGACAAGGTACAAAAAGCAAAATGCACAAACCAGGCAGATAAGAGGAACATGAGGAGAACCAGGTAGCCTCACATCAGGGCAGTAAACAGGATGAACTGGTGAAGACATGAGACTTTATAGACTCAGGGAACGAATGGGGAGACAAGACATGTGAGTCACAAGACGCAGGTGAATCAATTGAAGAAGGATGGAAAAGGAGACAAAGAGAGGAAGTAATACAACAAGAGACACACCAGTACAGGGGATTTCAAAATAAAACAGAAAATGGACAGAACAAGGCCCAAGAACATGACAGTAAAGGGTTTTTTTTCCCCACTCTGACAGTTATTTTTCTGGTCATCAGCAAGAAGGCTCGGCTCTCTATCTTAATCTAAATCGAATCAGAATCAGAATCCTTTTAATGTCATTGTACCAAAAAAAGTACAACGGAATTGGGTGCAATCCCATTCAGTGCAAAGAACAACTAGAAATTCACAAACCGTGCAAGATAAAAACAAGACACCAAGACAAATGAGACGTCTGTGGAGCCTGTAGATGTATATAAAACAATAAAAAAGTGACAGTAGGTATAAAATGGATATAAAAATGTGAGTGTTTGCAATAGCAGCGAGCAGCGGAGGTACCTGAGAAAATGCTTGTGGCAGATTACACCTGAGTACATGTGACGTACTGCAGACTGGGAATGGAGCGTATCAGCGTTTGTGGGAGTTCAGAGTGGTTTTGGCTCTGGGTGAAAAAGCAGTTTTTATTAGTCTGTTGGTTTTTGTCCTGATGCACCTGGAGCGCCTGCCTGAGGGCAACAGGTCAAACATATGGGACCCAGGATGTGAGCTGATGAGGTTTCTTGCCCGACTGAGGCAACTTTAAATAAACCCTGAGCCACATGTGACATCTTTTTTTTTGCATAAATTAATGCTGAAATGGCACACAGTTTCCAAAAATAAATGAATAAAAAGATTGTTAAAGTGTCACATTTAATTTTTAGAGTGATGATAAAACACCAATATGGACGTAAACTTACCTAAAGTAAAGCCGAGACTTCACACTTACTTTAGAATCTATTGTATGTACTAATGTACTGAAGATGAACAAAAATGAGCAATACGTGCCTTGCAGTACGTTTTAATTATGCTCTTTCAAACCTCGTATTTATCATTTCCTTTTTGCACAGGGCCTGAAAAGCCAGAGAGCATCACCGCTACAGAGGGAACCGACAACTTGATCATCCGCTGGACTTTGCCGAGAGGGAGAGCTGTTCACTATGTGGTGAACATCTCAAATACAAACCTGATGTATTCGAATTCCACTCAGACAGAAGACCAGACGGCCCGCTTTACTGGTTTATATCCTGGGAGACTCTTTGATATCACAGTGACCGCCGTGGCTGGAAACTTCCAAAACACGTCTGAGACATCTTCGTTCGCCACCGGTGAGCTGGTCGGCTTTCTTTATTTTTTGTTATATCTAGTAATGACAATCAACTTCAAGAAGGTGGATGACATGTCTGCTTTTTGACAAGACAGTTATATATTAGTGAAAATTAAGGAAATAATGGAAATCGTTAGCTTTTCATATTTAATCAAGCAAACATTTGACCCTTTTTTGAAACTGTGCCTACAGATAACTGTAGGTATGCTTGAGCACAACCGCAAGGAAAATATCGGTGATTTATTCATCAATAATATAAATAGACGTAATATTCTTCTATTGGAAAACTCTTGGCTTCGGGAGCGAGCATCCCCTTTAACAGAAATAATAATATTCACCAGTCTCTGACATCATGAAGTTTCTCAACACTCTTTCCTGCATTTAAACCTCAAATCCCCTAAAAACACTTGGTTGGATTCAAATTAATTAAATGAAATCAATCTTTTCATAACGAGGTTTTCCTCCTCAAAAGCTGCCTCTGGCCTGCATTAAACATATCTGCTATTACTGTGGCTGAATATCTTTAACTCATCTGTCCTGAGCATAATATTCAAAAATGTCTCTTCGCCTGCATGTTCATAGTCAAGCTGTGTTTGTTCTTTTTGGATGGCAAAGCATTTTTCTTGGCGTGCCTCCCATGCAGGTCAAAGAGCGACCTGCACATCCTTTGATGGAATTTCGGGGTTCTTGCAAACTTATTTTTTGCATCAAACACTTTGCTCGTGGGCAGAATTTGCCGGGGCGGTCCGTCAAATTGACAGTTCTTTGAAATCTACACCACTACTTCTATCCCACTACTATCAATACAGTAGGGTGAGTTATTGCAAGTGATTTGGAGGCCTTTTAAAATGATAACAATGATAATAATAATAATAATCATCATCATCATCATCATCATTATTATTATTAAAAGATAAAATAAATTGCAAAAAACCTGTAAAAAATACCTTTACAGGACAATAACGGTAAAAATATATATAAAAAAATAAAAATAAAGACAGTTCAAGAAAATTAAAACTCATTTAAAACCAGGAAAGGTTCTCTGGTTAAAGTATGTTTTAATAAAGGATTTAAAAGACTTTGTAGATCCTGATGACGCCACACATTTCAATGTAAAGCTTCATCTCACCATCGACACTTAAGCTTGAAACCAGGATTCTGATTTTCTACATTTTACGGGGTGATAAATGTACTAACTTTTCCCTTTTTTTGTTCTATAGTTATTTAATATATAAAAGCAACAATAAATGTCGATTTTGTGTCACTTCTTTAAGCATATGACCTTCATCAATAAGCTCAGTTTCAAAGAGAATAAAACTTTTGCTTTTCCAAACATGTAAACAACACGACTGAAGTGTTTCTGTGATTCTTAGCTCCCACTCCTCCTGGTCACATCGTCATCGATCAGCCGACCAACTCCTCTCTCCGTGTGGCGTGGACGACTCCTTCCATGATGGAGGGCGCTCCAGACATCAGCTACCGCGTCACCTACCAGCCCGGCGACGGTGAACTACACACCGAAGTCAGAGAAGTGGAGCTTTCTCCGCTCGCCTCTGGAACCTCCTACAATGTCACTGTGGAAACTGTCGGACCCCAAAACTTGAACAGCACAATTGTCCATAAATCTGCCTTCACCAGTAAGTAGAGCAGAGAGAAACCCGACGGTTTGGAACTGAACACTGCATGTATGATCAATGCATCATGTGTGATTACTTTATGATCAACTTCTCCCTCTTGTTTGTTTTTCTTTTAGGGCCAAACCCAGTGCTGAACCTCGAAGCTCGCCCTAAATCTACCGCTTCAGTAACGGTGAGCTGGACAGATCCACTGGGAGTCCAGCCGTATTACCAATACTTGGTTGAAACCTACAATGACACAGGAATGCTCGTTGACTCAAAGACAGTCAACGAAAGCAGCACAGATGTAACTGGTCTGGAGCCGGGATCCAAATACGACATCAACGTCACGACAGTCGCCGCCCCTGGAAGTAAATCCGACGTGGAACAGACGTTCAGTTATACAAGTAAGGAAGCATTCATGGGTTCTGTGCTGTGTGAACTAAACATCTCAAAACTACAAAATACCATTTGATGATGCTCTTTGGTCTTACGTACCCTTCTGCTGTGTTTGCACCAGTACCCAAAGCGGTGACCAACCTCACAGCAGAGCATGTGAACACGACGGCCATCAGGTTGACGTGGCTCGATGACCATGAATCTTCCACCTACCAGGTGGTGGTGTTCCTTGACGACTTGGTTGTTCGTAATATTTCAACAGCGGCAAAGACTTACACCTTCGGCGATCTGGAACCTGGAAACGAGTACATATTTAATGTGTGTGCAGTTGTAGCAGGGGTCAAGTCCACAGTGGTATCCACATCAAGTTACACAGGTACGACTCAATTATGCTTCTACAGAGAAATTTGTAATCAATGCTGCTTTCCAAAGGACACAGTCTTGCACTAGGATCACTTTAAAGCGGTGCGCAGCCGCCCCGGCTTTCATAAAGTTGGTGGACTTGCCAGAGAGAGAGAGAAAAAAAATTATTAAAACCCAAGCACCAGAGGCTGATAAAACAGCTTTTGGTCTCCTGCATAGGTCAATCTTCAAACATCCTAAAGCCTACAGGTTCCATAATAAGACTCTGTTGCCTGTTTAATGCCCACACATTGTAAACTCTGAACCTGCTCGGTTTGGAACAGAAGCTCTCGAATGAAAAGTCTTGATCCGAAGCAGAAAAATAACCCTCATAATGTCATTGGGGTTATTTTTTTTGTTGTTTTCTAACTTTAGAAAGGTCCTTCCAGAGCCACAGAAGAAGGCATTATTCACCTGTTTTTACACACCGAGTGACGAATAAACCAAAACTTTATGTATGAAATCACTCACAAGTGACAGATTTATAAAATATAAATCAGAAATGCATTTTGAACAGAGTGCAGTTGAGTTTTGATTGTATTTGTTCTGCTCAATTATGTATATTTAAGTTCATTTAACCCTTTAAACCCCACGTTTCTGGGTGGTTTTTTTTCTTCTTTTTACTGCAATATAAAGTCGTCTATGGAAACAGCACAACCGTCGCTAGAATTCTAAAAAATAAAAGCCTCCTGTGCAGTCACCCCAAATCAGGAAAAACTAACAAAATAAAAGCCATGTTGTCAATACTGGAGAGAAACAGCGGCTCTACATACTATGAATATTATACTCATTACAGTTTTACTTTGCTTCCACGCTCGTCTCCTCTGTGTAAACTAAACCAACAAGTTCACCTTAAAAGTCCATGAATTTTTATGACAAAACTGTCGATCACAGCCGAGTCGATCACGGCTTTTCAGTTGAGCCGAGGATCACAGAATTTTTTAGTTTTTTGCAGAATGTGTTTGGATGAAACTTTTTATTTTTTGTGATGTTTTTTTTTTTTTTCAATGAGCCAAGCGATTTTAAATAAAGATCCTGATTTGAAGCTTAGATTTGATTAAGTTCTCTAACGTCACAGATGTATAGTTCAAGGGTGCTGGGAAAGTTGAAAATCTGAGGATTCTTTCTGTTTTTACAGTTTCTTGACATAAATGGTGAAATTTTGATGATTTCTCAAAGATAACCTTTCAGACCTGCTGTCGGGTATCAGGGTTCAGAGGGTTAATGTGTGTTTATCACATTTGTTTCCCCCAGTACCCTCAGCAGTCTCTAACCTCACAGCCATCGGAAACACAACCAGCCTGTCAGTGAGCTGGACGCCCGGCTCGGGGAACGTGTCCTCGTACTCGGTCCTGCTCTACAGAGACTCGCTGTTGATCACAAGCGCCACAGATCTGAGCGCCGAGACTCGAGACAGAGTGTTTACGGACTTGAAACCAGGAGTGCTCTACCTTGTGAAGGTGATCGCCAAAAGTGGACGCTTGGAGAACCCAGCAAACGTTTCCAACGCAACCTGTGAGTTACACTTTGACTCATAGAAATGCCTGTAGTGTTTGAATTGACTACTGATCAAACAGCTTTCCTTCTCCTGCTCAGTTCCCAACCCTCCCGGTCCCATCACGGTGGTGTCTCAGACAGTCAAGTCCATCAACTTCACCTGGCCCCTCCCGGAGGACATGGATCACAATCAGTACAACTTCAGGGTGTCCAGCAGCGCTAACGTCTCGGCTTTGATTCAAAACAACTCATTCCTGCTGGACGATCTCTCATCTGGAAGCCTTCACAACATCTCTGTTGTTACCGTCGGTGTGTGGAATTATAGCAGCACAGCGGTGACGGCAGCAACCTACACCAGTGAGTAAACACACACCAAACACATCTTACACACACTTTAATCCTAGTCTTAATTCATGATAACAACCTTGATGCACTGTCAGATGGATTCAGGTATTTATAGGGATGTAATTTACCTCCATAAAAAGCCAGATCGGTTGGTTGCATCAACTTAAGGACATTCAAAAGTCTGAGCACATAATCACTGCACCATTTTGACACCCAGATGTTTATTTGGGAGAACAGTTAACCCCCTTATGGCTCTGTGATGAACCACAGACACTATTTGTTCCACTATCTGCAGATGTGTTACAACACTGACCTCTTGTGTTCATCCTCTGTATCTCATCTGTGTCTTTACATCAGGACCGTTTTCTGTCACTAATCTGAGTGAGACAGAAATCACCACAAACACCGTGAGGCTGGCGTGGGAGCAGCCGGAGATCAGATCGAACTACACTTATCTAGTGCAGGTCTCCAACGGCTCCTCTGATGTTTTTTCCAAAGTGGAGTCGACGAACACTTCAACAGTCACTCCACTCGTCTCTGGGAGCAACTTCAGCTTCACCGTCACTACGCGGGCAGCAGATGGCACCGAAGCCGACCCTGTCACAGTGTCCTACTTCACAAGTACGCACGGTTCCTCCAGTCAGACATATTGTCAGGATGTGGAAGTGAACGTGTGCGTAATGTTGCTTTCTCCCGTGTCTGCAGGGCCGTATGGTGTCAGAGGGCTGGTGGCTGAAACCTTAAACACAGAAGCTATAAACCTGGCTTGGATGAGACCACTTGAGTACAGGACTGACTATAGGTATCGGATCGAGACGACGGGCTGCGGCTCCAGCACCATAACCCTTACAGAAGAAACGGCGGTGATCTCAGAGCTCACCCCAGGAACCAACTGCACCTTCTGTGTTTCTGTCATGGCAGCAAACGACATCACAGGGGAAGAAAACTGCACCTCTCAGTACACGAGTAAGACTCTTACCTGTGCTTTCTGTCCCGCTTTTTTAAACTTTGAGTGTTGCTTTATTCTTTCTTCCTCTTCACATTGACAGGACCTGAGATGGGACATCCCAGCATCTCCAGCTGGGGCTCCAACAGCTCAGTCCTGGTGAATTGGACCCAACCTCGGGGAAATGTGGAGTATTATAAGGTTCATCTAAATGATTCTCTACAGTCAGTGCAGCTGAGCTCCACCGACACCTCCCACCTGTTTGACGACCTGTCGGCTGGAAGATTTTACAGCGCAGTTCTCATCACATGCAGCGGACCATTTAATGCATCATCTGAAGTGGTTACTAATGCAACGTGTGAGTATCATGAATATGTTAGATTCTTAAGAGTTAAGTGGTTTTGTATTAGGTATAACTACTCATATCATTATTAAAGTTGCCTTTGTTAAGTTTTTATACATGTCAAGATGCTGTAAAAATGTACTTGAGTCATTTTTTGCGATTATTTTTTCTTCTGCACGTTACCAGAAAACTGGTGATTCGCTCTCTGATGTTAGTCCTAAAGCACCTGTGTGCAGTAATATAAGAAAAAAGGTTTCACTATTGAAATTCTTTAAAGTCAACAGAAATATTGTACGTTTTTGTTGTGCAAAAATCAATTGAACAAGCACACGAACATGGGCGGCTGTGGCTCAGGTGAGCGGGTTGTCCTAAGGTTGGTGATTCGATCCCCGGCCCCTCCACAGTCGAAGTGTCCTTAGACAAGACACTGAACCCTGAAGTTGCCCCCAGTGGCAGGCAGCACCTTGCGTGGCAGCTCTGTCGCCATATGAATGTTTGTGTGAATGGGTGAATGAGAAACACATTGTAAAGCGCTTTGGATATAAGTGCAGACTGTTTACTTTCACCAGCTTACAGTATGATCCTTTAAATGTGCATATTGTTGTGAGAAATTCAAAGTATTTCAGAATGATGTTACTCAGCTTGTTGAACCTGCCCAACAGTCCCCAACCCTCCTGGACCAATCCAGATCCTGGCTCAGACAACCAGCTCCATTGAGTTTAGATGGGGAGACGCTCCTCTGATGTCTGGTGCGTCTTTCTACTACCAAGTGACTAACACACCATCTCAGAGAGGCGGAAACGTCACTACCAACACCACCACCGGCACCAGTCATACTTTTGCCTCCCTGCCTTCTGGGACTTCCTTCAACTTGTCCGTGGTGACCGTGGGTGTTGGGGGCTTCGAGAGTGGAAGGGTTTACAGCGAGATGGTCACCACGAGTAAGGAGTTTATGTTTGTACCCAGCAATGTGCTCCTCTTTCACCTTTACTGTCTGGAATGACATTCTGTATCTCTCAAATGTCTTTCAAAAAACCAGGACCGCAGAGCGTGCAGTTTCTTACGACGACCTCAGAGGAGACGAACATCACAGTCAGTTGGACCCAACCTGTTGGATACAAGGACAGCTATCGTTACAATCTGACCTGGGAGGGATCAGATGGGACCAAGAGTTCCGAACTTATTCAGGAAACTTCTTTTACTATCCACCCCCTGGATCCTGGTAGCAGATATAACATTAGTGTCACCACTGTGACCTCTGATGGAACGGCGGGTGCTCCACGCTTGATTTCCACCTGCACAAGTATGATCATAGCAACCTAATTCATTCCTTGTATATTTATTTCTGTCAAACATTTGAACTTAAGTTTGTCGTTCATATGTGCTCATATGAAAAATGTGAGAAGCAAACTTGTTCTTTAGGTTAGAATGAGTGTTTCTTTATGATTCTCAGATGTCAGCTGAAGATGTCTAAAACAATCTGTGATGTTTTATTTAATTGATTAACAACTAAACCCTCTATACACTTAAATGGTGTTGCTGACAACTGGACGCCATTTTTCAAATAATCAAAAGACTGATAAGATGCTTTTCTGTAACTTTCAACACACCTGCATTCATGCTTTTGTCGTCCTGTTCTGTTTTTCCTGACGTTTCTTTCTGTTGGATCCTGCAGGGGCAAGCCCAGTGACAGATCTAACATGTAAAGGCCCAAACAATCCAAACGCAGAAGTCATCCTGAACTGGACCAAACCCAGAGGCCAGTACTCTGGTTTCTCTATCAACATAAACACAGACACCATCGACAGGAAGGGCACCTGCTGCAGTCACACTGTTTCCGACCTTCGCCACAACACCAACTATACCCTGACTGTGACGACTCTGAGTTGCGGAGGAAGCAGCTATCCTGTGACTATTTCCTGCAAAACGGGCATCACAAGTAAGACGATAAACTCTGTGGGCTATATTGACGTAAGTGTAGAATGTAATAATAATAACAGTGAGTTTTTCAATCCAAGTGTACCTGCAGGAGAAGCTACGGTGGCCGGGAAGTGCAAAACAAATCTACAAACTCCCGAAACACTTTTACAAGTAAAATCAACCGGAAAGGGAATGCACCAACTCTGGGATTGAACAGGAAGTGGTGACGGGGAGCGACCAGTAAGAGCTGTTATTGTCATCTATGGAGGTCATGGTGACCCAAGACGGACAGCAACCGAGTGATGCTTTGTGACGCGGCATTGTTTTTCGTGTGATCAGTCTTTAGAATTTTAAGATTGTGCAGACCAGACAGAAGGACCAGATTTGCTGCAGCAGTGGATCAGATATTACAGATATTATATTAGATATGAAACAAACAACATTTTTAGAGCCCAAGCTCTAGTGGTTTTCCAGTCATGTGGCTTATAAACAGCCAAATCCTGAACTGTTTTGGATTCCAAAGTCCATTTGTGACTCAAACACACTGTATGAATCTAGGAGTGGTCATTTCAACAGGCTTGAACATGTATGTGCCACTGGGAATGGAGAGTCATCCAGGAACTCTATTTGTGGCGATGGTTCCAAGCCAGAAGGGGGGAAGTGAAGTCAGCCCAGTTGCAAACATCACAACATCCTCCGCCGTGAACTCCATAAATGACAACAACAACTCTTATTGGCCGTCACCACTTCCGGTTCAGTCCTAGAGTTGGTTCGTCACTTGTAAAGTTGTTTTGCACTTCCAGGCCACCGTAAGAAGCTCATCATTGAGATGAGACCATTTTTGCAGGCTGATTAAAGACGTGGATTCCTTTCAGATGCTGATTTAATTTTACTTACGTGTCTTGATTGGTCGACAGTTAATGGCATCCACTTTATGTTTAGAACCATCAAACTGAATTTAATCTATCGAATGCTCCTTTATTGTCTTTATAGTTTTTCATTTTTGTGGTTTTTAAAAATGTTCTATTCTCTCCTCTGTGTTTCTTCTTTAAAGATCCACCCGCTCCACTGTGTGGCTCACTGATGGTGGTGGCTGATGTTCAACACAACAGGTTCTCCCTCAACATGAACTCCAACGTGCTGAACGACCTCAACGGACCGATTACAGATATTGGAGTGCTGGTGACAAGTAATGTCCCTGGTGGGTTTGTGTAACCGGGTTACGCTGTTGTGTTCGATTTGTGTCAAACTGTTTATATTGTTCCATGAACAATTTTGGTTTATTTACAAGATTTATTTACATAAATGTTTTAAAAAAGTGTTGAGAACTTTGAACAGCCAATTACAGTTTGTGGTAATCCCCGTCCTTCCAGATAACTCCTCTAATTTGAAGCAGTATTTGGGGAAGACTTATTCCGAGTGGAGAGCTGAGACGACTCCGGTGTACCTGGCAACAGTCGTCCCCAACATCGCCCATCAGATGAATGATCAGGACTTTGTGGTCATAGGAAACGGATCCCAGTGGAAAGGCTACAGTAACGGTGTTCTGGACCCCAAAGGACGATACCAGTAAGAACGCCAACCAGGCTGTGTATAAAACAGTAGCTGATAGCACACTATAAGAACACAACAGGAGCGCTGCAAATATTTGCAAATCTGAATTTAGAATTTAGTCGTTATTATTGCATTTTTAGTCGCTGCATGTTTAATGATTTTAATCATTTTGTTCTAACAGATTATGTTTGCATCTCTGTGTTAAATTTTACACAAGTACGGTTCAACGTAGAAGTAATGTAGTCGTTCAAAGGTTATAATTTAGAATCATTTAACATTTAAATGATGCTGCACATGAGGCTGCAAGGTGGAACAGTGGTTAGCATTGTCGCCTCACAGCTAGAAGGTTGCTGGTTCGTGTCCCGGTGAGGACACCCTGGATCTTTCTGCGTGGAGTTTGCATGTTCTCCCCGTGCAGCGTGGGTTCTCTTCAGGTTCTCCGGCTTCCTCCCACAGTCCAGAAACATGTTGAGGTTAATTGGTGATTCTAAATTGTCCGTAGGTGTGAATGTGAGTGTGCTTGGTTGTCTGTCTCTAAGTGTAGCCCTGTGATAGACTGGTTACCTGTCCAGGTGAACCTGCCTTCACCCTGAGTCAGCTGGGATAGACTCCAGCCCCCCATGGAGGATTAAGGTGTAGAGATAACAGATGGATGGATGATGCCGCACATGAGTCTGGGTGTATTCACATCTGTTGTGTATTTGCTGCTTTCTGACACATTAGAACAATCGTCTTTAAGATAATCAGTGACACAGATTCTGAACAAAAACCAGGAGTCTACTGTAAGATGTTTGTATGTACCAAATCATTGTAAATCTTTTAACTGAGTGTTTAATCCTGCAGATATGCCATCGCAATATTCACCAGTCTGAAAGCGGACGGCAACCTTGTGGATAGTAGCAGCTCACTGGTCTCAATAACAAACTTCTGTTCTGTCACCCTTGATAGTGACCCAGGTACCATAATCAGAATCAAACTGAACTTCTTTACTTATCTATGAAGTGCTTGTATGATGTGAGCAGATGCTTACTGGTGTCTTTGTGAACATGCTAGCTGTCATTGCCATCGCCATCGCAGTCCCACTGAGCATTTTCTGTATTCTCTTCATCATCCTCATCGGCTTCATCGTCTACTGGAGAAGGTTCGTCATCGTCATCAACAGCTATTAAATCAGAGTGTGTCGGATCAAACTCTAAACTCACACTTTATTTACTGTCCTGCAGGATTGCCAAGAAAGACACGTCAGACATCCAGATTCACTCCCTGAGGTGAGGTTGTCGTTTTTACCTTGTCAGTATATGCTTGGACTAAACAGACAACAACTGCTTCTCTAATCGTTGTTTTTTTTCCTCTTTGTTTTTCCAGATCCAAAGTGTAAGTATGAATTTGTTAAATCCATGAAGTATGATTAATGTAGTTTTCTGGACAAAGCTCATAAACTCTCGTCTGAATTTGAGCAGAAGTGTAGCGGTGAGGGTGGAGGACTACGAGGCGTACTACAAGAAGCAGAAAGCAGACTCCAACTGTGGATTTGCAGAAGAATTTGAGGTGAAATATAAACTCAAGGGGCTCCTTATTTGTATATTCAAAACACGCTACCGTTGCTCACACTGTAGTAGAAATGTCTGACTCTGTAATGATGTAATGTAAAGAAACAAATCAGGACAGTTTCATGAGACAAGTTGTGGGATTTGCATGTGGCTGAATCATTTTGTTTTTCTTTCTTTTAAAGGACCTGAAGATTGTTGGTACCAGTCAGGCCAAATTACACGCATTGTCTGTGGAGAACAAGCCCAAGAACCGCTACAACAACGTGCTTCCATGTGAGTCGCTTCAACGAACCGCCTCCGCTGCTTTCACCGATAACACTCCTCATTCTTTAAAACCACATCGCTGCCTGTCATTCTCATTTTTGCTTGGGCAGCTAAACCAAACTCGTACATCATCTGCAAAATATCCCTCCACGTTTGTGTATTTTTGCATTTCATTTGCCCTCTCGTCCGCCTCCCAGATGACTCGTCTAGGGTGAAACTCTCTATAATCCACGGAAGCCCGTATGACGACTACATCAATGCTAACTACATGCCGGTGCGTACTGACTGACAGTCTTTACAGCAGCTCTCTGCCTCCATCACTGTCAATAAAAATCCCACCGAACGACGTAACAGCTCATTCATTTGCTTAAACTTGTTTCACCTTCATCGACATTCAGAGCCTCTCAGGGAACTGAACCGGGCGGCTCTTCTCTGTGGCTGCTGTTTCGTTTGACAGGGTTACATCTCCAGGAAGGAGTTTATTGCAGCTCAGGGTCCTTTGCCCACCACAGTCAACGAGTTCTGGAGGATGATCTGGGAGAAGAACGTGCAGACGATGGTCATGCTGACGCGCTGCAACGAACAGGGACGAGTGAGTACAAACGCCGGAATGTAATCGCTAAAATAACCATTTTAAACAACCATCATCAGCATTTCTGGTCAGATATCAACCCGCTGAACCCTCAGCAATGTCTAGGCGTCGTTTTTTTTTTTTGTTGCTCCTGCCACAGTTTTATTCTCTTGTTTTTTACTGCGAGATAAATTCCTTCTATGGAAACAACCTAACCGTGGCTAGAAGTTGAGATATTAAATGTGTTTTTTGTGCAGTATGATGAAGTTGGTTCTCAAAGTTTTTGAGCCACGACCCCAATTATAACATTAGTTTATGTTCGCGACCCTCCAATTTGAATTCTTAATATATCACGAGTAATAACTTTGTTGTTCATGCATTACTGCGTTAAAAATTAATGTGTTCATTCCACAGATTAATCTCTTTACATTAACACGAATGAATGAATTGAATTTATTTCAAACAAATGAAAGGGAAAAAAAAACATAAAAACAAAAGAAAATTATTTTAAAAAGAGCAAAAAAAGAATAATAATATTGCATAATCAAATTATAATATTAACGAGTCTGAAAAAGGAAAGGGCAGAAGTACACATTTATGTACTATTACACATTTATTTAATAAATGTCGGGTTTATTTTTATTTATTTTATTTTGCAGTGATCTGGCGACCCTCCTGAAATTATCTTGGGACCCCCATGGGGGTCCCGACCCCCAGTTTGAGAACCACTGCCATAAACCATAAAAAAAAGGAAGAAAAACCAAAACAGTTGGGTTTTTAGACGAGACCAACAGAAAAAAGTCGTTTTGATGAAACATTAACGACTTAAAGCTTTCGGATAATTTTCTTAATAAAACTCTACGTTACACATGATCCACTGATGGACTGTTGGGAAGTTAAACATGCGGGAATTCTTTCTGTTTTTGCAGTTTCTTGGTCCAATAAGTGGCACCATTTTAGTGTTGTTGTTGTTGTTGTTTGTTTGTTCTTTTAAAACTTGCCGCTAGTTTTTGAGGTTCAGACAGTTAAGGGAGAAACTTATATCTTAAAAAATACATTAAATTAATAATGGTTAAAGCAAAACAAACAAACAAACAAAAAGAAAGAAATCTGGAATTGAGTTAAAATCTAACTTTTTAACTAAAAACAAACACTTTGGTTGATTTATATTATATTGCAAATAAACCAAAGTGAAACTCTTCCCCGTACATGATTTATAATTTGGATATTTGTGTGTGTGTGTGTGTGTGTGTGTGTGTGTGTGTGTGTGGCCCGTCCTTACACATATTAATGCACACTATATGGTTAAATTATTCATCAGCCTTTTGCTGCACTCTACAATCATTTTAACGCTCACCAAAATGTGGCCTTGCTGCTTTGAAGACAGTTTTAATCAAGTTGGAAAGTATTCTCATAATATTAAAGATCTTTGGATTGTACTATATTACTTGTACTTTTTATGAATGTTTGTCGCGGCTGAAGTTCTGTCCTCCTCTTGCAGGTGAAATGTGAGCAGTACTGGGGTTCTGGCACCAAGCACTTTGAAAACATCACTGTGAGAACAACCTCTGAAATACCACTTGAAGACTGGACCATCAGGGACTTTGACGTCAGAAATGTAAGATCTAAAAATGAGCAACTCTTTTGGCTGCAGGTCGTCACCGATCGCAGCTTATTTAAAACCTCCAGATCAGAACATGAGTCCTACAGCTTTACTCAACATTTGCCAATAATCAGCTAAATGTGCAGAAATATTATAGCACTGTGCATATTTTGAACTTCACCTGTGACCTGTATGTGTCTAGTTTATGTAGACGGGTGACATGTTAACGGGAAAACCGGCACCCATTCCCCTACAGTGTCCCCGTAGAGGGATGGCTCACTGCAAATCAAATTAAAGTTGTTCTAAGTGACCTCCTTTATCCTGTGATGACCTGTTTTTATCCTGGAGTGGAGAGGGAGTCTCTCCCAAGGTGACAGCACCCCCCATCGAGCCACCTTGCAGCCCCCAAACCAAACAAAATCCATAAAATAACAGTGAATTATTCCAAAAATTAGCAGTTAAAAAAACACAGTTACAGTGAAGGAGCTCTAACCTATCATGTCTTGAGCGCTCATGCAGGTATTCACAGCTGTGCACTATTTATTTACCCTGCAGGTGAAAACAGCGGAGACCCGTTCCATTCGTCACTTCCACTTCACAGCGTGGCCAGATCACGGCGTACCGGAAACCACGGAGCTCCTCATCAGCTTCAGACATCTGGTCAGAGAGCACATGAACCAATACTCCAGAAACTCTCCCACCGTGGTGCACTGCAGGTCTGACGGAAACACATTTGATTTTACTGTTTCAGAAATGACAAAATAAAACGTTGCCTGATGTTGTTTCTGTTTCTCGTCTCGGGGTCAGCGCCGGCGTGGGGCGCACGGGCACCTTGATAGCCATCGACCGTCTGATCTTCCAGATTGAGCGGGAAAACATCGTGGACGTGTTCGGCATCGTCCACGACCTGCGCATGCACAGGCCCCTCATGGTGCAGACGGAGGTGGGAAACAGTCACGTTCTCTGTGTGCTTTCTGTGAATAATCCTGCAGCTCACTCTGTACCTGATATCCTTGCAGGACCAGTACGTGTTCTTGAACCAGTGTGCCTTAGACATCATCCGGTCGAGGACGGGCACCAACGTGGATCTGATCTACCAAAACACCGCTGCGCTCTCTATTTACGAGAATGTGGAACCAAAGAAAGGTTATTCCAAAAACGGATACCACAATCCTTAAACCCGGGAAGTCGTCCATCTCTCTCTCTCTCTCTTTACATGTGAGCAAGAAACTGAGCAGACGTTTGCAAAGGGAACGCTTCTAACAGATTGTATTTATTTCTGCCGCGCCGTTTGTTGAGAATCTTCTGGATTTATTTTGTGATATTTATTTGTCTTTGATGAAGGAGCGATGTGTTTATGGAGATGCAATAGTGGACGTAACCACTGACCAAACATAGTTCTGTCTTAGATTATAATTGCAGATATGTTTTTTTTTACATTGCTCTGTTGTTTTTATAATATCTGTCTGCTTACTACTGTGTATGACTCACTGATGATCACACGTTTGGCTCAGGAAGTACGTCGGATGCTGTATAGGTATTATTACGGACACTTTTGATGTAATTAACCGATCCGTTGGAATTGCCTTGTACAAAAACAAATGCTGGTACACTGTGTGCCTTTTTTTTTTTTTTTAACAACCTGTATGCTCTAACACCACTAGGTGGCACTCTTCTGTTTTTGTTTTTAACATGGGGACTGTTATGATATGGTAGCCTATTATTTTTGTAGTCTTCCACCAGTATGAACTGTGCAATGTGTTTTTAATAAGGTTGTGTCTTTTGTATGTGTATGCACTGTATTGTGAATAATGCACTGGATGCATTCGTCTTCCACACTGTCCACCGCAGAGATGTTTCTATCGGCTGATTGCGTTTCGGCCAGTGCTTTGTGAAGCTGTTTGTTTCACCCACACGTTAATAATTTTAACACTTTAGCTCAGGAAGTGAATGAAAGCCGGCAGGTGTGGTGTTAAGAATCCACACTGGACCGACCGGCGTGTGTTTAGCAGAACTTTAAGAGGCCGCGTCCATTGTTTAGTTAATGTCCTTCTTTTCTACTTTTGTACATTCCTCGCAGAAACTGTAAAGTTGTGCCACTTCCTGCTGCATATCTGATCCATCTATGGACATTTCCTGTGATGTTAAGAAAAAAGAAAAATCTCCAGGGAATCACAAGTTTTATTTTCAACTTCTAAAGGGCAGAATTTTCCATGAGGCAGGTACGTTTTTTTGTTTTTTGAAGATGCAGCCTGATATTTTTAAGTCCATGTTATATTTTTATTATGTCATAATGTACATTAATTGATTTGAAGCACTTCTGCTCTCTTTTTTAAAAAATGGAAAACAGGAATTTTAAATAGACATCGGTTGTTGTTGATATGCTTTATAGGATGCTTGCTGGTACAATGCAAATATGTAAAAGAAGCAGGACGCCTGTCGATATGTTAAATGAAAACAGGATTAAAGATGTTTTTACGTTGCAGCCTCAGTCTCCTCTTTTACTAGAATCCCCCCGGCTTCAATTACAGCTTTACACTTGACAGTTTTGATTGCTCCACTCATAATTTTTGTAATATTTTACATGTTGGTATCATGACTAAACATAATTTGGGCACCGATAGAGTCATTATGCAAACAGTTTCTGAGCTGCTCGAGTCAAACGTGAAGCTCAGAAACGACACAACGCTGCTGCAGAGGAGGGTTGAGCTGGCACACCTCTGCATTATTCAACTTTTGCAGGTAGCTAAGTGCACCCCCAACAGATGAATAAATAATGCTATTTCTCTTTCTTGGTCCGCGAGGAAAAAGCTTTTTACACAGACTTCAAAAAATGTTTTACAGCTCACCACAGGGCTACCGTCGGGGGGATTTCTCACAATACGGAGGTGTTTTTGAGGGCAATCATTTCCACTCCCAGCATGGTGGTAATATAAGATTCTGCCAACATGTCGGCTTCAATAAGTCTGATATTTCTATAGCCTGATGCAGTAATGCCTCCCCCCCTTCATCCATCTCTGCCCTCCACTCCTCCACGTCATCCTTGCTTCATGTCTCTCAGATCCACAAGTTGGATATAAAAATAGCTCTGGCATTTCAATACCTCTTTCTAGTTTCCTATACCGTGAGTCGCAGGGGAGGGGAAAAAAAAAAAAACGTACACAAAGAGCTGCTAATCCAACAGGGAATCCAACCTGCAAATGCAAAATTAAAATAGGACAAAAGATAACTGGGTGATCCAAATTTAATGATGAGCTCAAATCCTTACGTGTAAATCCACCATAATGGATTACACCGGGATGTTTTCTGTCTCTGAAGAGAAACACAAATGAGGATGTGTGCCCTGTTTGGTGGAAAGACGACCACACAGCTGTGCAGACGCGTTGCCTCGACCTTCAAGCTAAGACCTGACTCCCAGACTTGTCAATATAAGGAGTGTGTTTGATATTACTGTGTTATTTTACACACCATTGAACATCATTCAGTCCAGGACAAGACACAATAAAGGTACAATGGTTCAGCAGTTTAAGCATAAAAGATGAGAAGAAGGTGCAACTGTGGAGCCAAAACCATAAAATACCACATATATTCATACATATTCACTGTGATAATCTAAATATGTGCTAATGTTCACTCTTTTAAACAGTTAAAATTAAAATTCTTCATCTAATTTGTGCTTTACTTCACTACTTTTCAGAAAATACTGTCCATTTAATCCATTTTAGTTTGATTTTTATACATTTATCAGACAGGTACTCCACATATTGTTGCACAGACAAAACAATAATGATCAGATTACAAAATGAATGTAGGCCAGGTAGCTGCACATTAACCAGACACAACCGTTAAACGCTAATATAAGACAATTCACCAATAAAGAAAAAAATAATGCAATGACATATATATATATGCTTACTTGAAGGTTTTGTTTTCCAGATTGGAGGGTTGATTATATTGTAAAAGTATACTGACAATAATAAATGAAAGCATTAGTTAATCTATTCAGACTACACTGAAGTACGGCGGCCTCTAAAAAAGACTAAAAGATGAAGGCACACAAATAAGAGTCCTGGTGAAGAATGACAATAAGAGAAAATGAGATAAAACTTGATTAATCCTGAAGGGAATTCTTGTCCCAGATATTGTTTTGAAACAGAAACAGTAAAAACTAATGCTGGCAATTATACTGCAGTAATAGGTCACATCACACATGATTATTAAATAATGGAAGAAATATTGCATCTGAAAAATTGGTTAAAAATTAAAATGAAGCACATTACATCGACAATACAAGTACTAAAAGGCAAAGTGTGTACAACAATGATAACACTGTTGATTTGTTGTGGGCGACAATAAATATGTATTACAAGATAAAAACAGGTAAAAAATAAAAGTAACTAATAGTGCAAAGCAGAAGCAAAAAAATATTGTGGAGTTAAGAATTACATTTAAATAAGAACCATAAAACTGTAGTACTATTTGCAGGAATATTAAGGGTGCAGATATATTGATATTTATTAGGGATGACCACATCGGTATCGGCCGATATTAGTGTTTTTACTATATATCAGCATCCGCCTGATGAACAAATTTAGCCGATGATCGTCTGACATCAGCGCCTTCGTCTCTACATTTGATATCGCTGCTATTTCACAGATGTTTTTACTTAAATGGTCCTTTAACGTTAAATATGTTTGACTTTTGTTATGTAATAAAGAAGACTATGTGGTCTAATTGGGCTTCTTCCGAATAGTTTTCTCACAGTGCTTACTTATACTCATTTTTCAGCATGAACAAATATTGAATATCGGTAATATCGGTTATCGGCAATATCAGAAATCTTAATATCGGTATCGGCCAGAAATTTTAATATCGTGCATCACTAATATTTACATCTATAGAGATGATGAAGAGAGCATCTACAAGGCAAAAACAAATTAATCAAGCTGGAGGTAAAATAAGATTAAATGAAAAACCTGAGCTGCCCCTGAGGTGAATAAAACTTTTCTGCAGGTGCGCACTGCTGACCAGCGGTGTGCTCTGTATTATGTGGTTTGTTATTTAACTCATCAACAGGCTTAAATGCGCATTATGTGGTGCAGATAAACGTCCCAGCGTACAGTCTGCCGGAAATCAACAGAAGAAGAAGAAGAAGAAGCGATAAACATACAATAATATCCTTTGTAGGTCACGTCCCTCCCGTGATCTCCGCGGTGCTCGTGCTCGGCGGCATGCAGCAGGTGTCGTGCGGCGCCGCGGCCACAGGTGTCGCCAGAGCTCCCCGCGGAGCAGCAGCCCGCTGAACCGCAGCGGCAGCAGGAGGATCCAGTCCGCTCCGCACTCTCCATGTTGAAAGGGAGCAACTTCTCCTCCAGCCGACTTCCACCGTCCGTCCGCCACAGCCCAGCCCAGCCCAGCGCGCCCGCCGTCCCCCCTCGACCCCGCTGTCTCCCACTCAGCCCCGTGCTATGACGCCGGACTGGGAAGGCAGCCGTGGAACTACCGTATGAGGCGCCTGCTCGGTCGACAAAGAGTGAGTTGTGGAGCCGCCGTACTCCACCGACACGGCGGCGGAGATAACTTGCTATTTTTAGCGAACGTTACTTGTATTTATCCCACTAACGGCTCTTTTGACGCGCTAACTTGTGCTAGCTAGCGGAGCTCCGGCAGCGCTGCTTCGGGTCGGGAATGCGGATAATTCGCTGCTTTTCTCCGGGATTCACTCGGTGTGTGTGTGTGTTGTTTTTAGGCAGCCTGCCGTCGCTGTATTCGGAGGAATTCGGTTCGGCGGTGGTGGTGGTTGGTAACGTTATCTGCTGGGTTCGCCCGTCTGGCTGGGCAGCGGCTAACGTTACTAGCCTGCTACCCAGAGTAAACCCTCGTCTCCACGCTAGCGGAGCGGACCATGCCCCATGCGGCTGCAGCTTTGCTGTCACCCGTTTGCATAGCAACCGTGAGCCTTAGCCGATGCCCGGGGTGGCTGTGACAAGCAAGGGCAAGTACCTCCGCGGTGTTCTCCCGTGTTTATTCGGTCCCTGTTAGCACCTGCTTCCAGTGCAGCGAGCTGTGTTGGTAAATTGGACCAATTATAAACAGACGCCCTGCAGCAGAGCAGCGCGTGTGGCGGAGCAGCCACCGGAGGAACCGTCATTAAATGCGCTCCCAACAGCCTCCATTAGTCCCGGGAACCGTCAGGCTCGTTGTAACGGCATGCTCGGTGCAAAGTGCTGCGTTTAGTTTGATGCAGAGTGGGACTGCAGCTGATGAAGAAGAGTAGCTGGTAGACATTTAAATGTCAAATACACGCAGCGCAGGCCAGGACACATTTAGCAAGGTTCAAGTTCACTTTTACTAGCGCGATGCCAAAGCTTGTGTTGTGGGTTTATTTGTTGTGGCTGCTGATCTGCAGAGACCAAAACCATATAACTGTTTGTCTTCTCATGTTGTGCCTTTTATTGTTTGCATTGGTTAGAAATCAAATGTGAGGCTTGTGATTATGACAAGACATCTAAATTGACCAATATTGGCATTATTGCAGATAATTTAGAGCTCAGCTTTTATTTACTGCAGCACAAAATATCCTTGTAAAACTCATACATACTTAATTCAAGCAACTGTTTTCTTCTCGTGACAAAGCCTTTTTGTTATTATCATGCTATTTTGGCGAGACATCAGATGTGAGGCTTGTGGTAAAAGCTAGACATTGGCCAATAGCAAGTGCACATCATCTGTTTTCTACCAAGAAAGTACAGTTTAAAAAAAACAAAACAAACCCAGTATGTTTAAAGCCATTTGGAAGTCTTCATTACATAGCTAGTCTACCAGAAGTTTTTTTTTCCAACTGTATATGTCAGACTCACCCCTTATCTAAGTTACTACCACAAAAAAATTACACTTCATTTGCACGTGTTCATGAGAAAAGTGGACAAACAGCCGCTATGTTTTCATCTGATTTCTGGTGTCCACCCAGCTGTTCTTGTGCCGTTTAACCCTCGATGAGATGGCGACTAAATGTGGAGGTTTTTCAGCGCTTCTTCGCCTCATCCACCCGCCCTCTATTTCCAGCGTAGACAGAGATAGAAGCGCTCATCGTCTCTAATCGTGTGATATTATGGTGGGCTGGGCTCTGAGAGAGATGAGAATAACACTGAAGTGCACTTTAGTTAATAGTTAAAAGGCTTTCTGGAATGTGTCACTCCAAACACTGGAAAAGAAAATCTCAAGAGAAGGCGAGCGCAGGAGGAAATGATTACCGGAGTGCTAGAAGTGAAATGTTAGGTGATATCTGGGAAATTACAGCGAAGCGAGAAAAGGCACTTTAACAGTCCGTGTCTTGTTCCCCACTTTCCCTTTTTTCCCCTCAAAGCTTTGCAGATTCTTTTATTTGCTTTGTTGCTTCAGTGTTTCTGCGATCTGTCAGAGTGGCTTATACAGAACGATAAAGGTCTAATATCCAGTGTTGCACTCCTCTGTCAGACGTGCTTCAGGCATAGAATTGATCTGATATTGAATGACTGCAAAATGTCAGACGGCAACCGGTGTCAATAGCAGAGGTGGTTGCCCAGCGAGCGTTTGAAGGTCATTGTTATTGTGTGGCCATTGGAATTGGGTCATGAAATCATTAACAACAAACACTACGTCCATTGGCATATCTGCTTTTTGTTTATATAAGTCTGTGTTGCTCTAGATTGTATCTGCACAACGTCCTTCATCAGGTTGAGCTGTGAGGCTCTATTACTAAGCAAATAAACAGAGTTGATCCAACTCTGCTTTAATAGCGATGGCAGCTTTTCTGAGCTGATCTGTTAACACCCGAGGTCCGGTCATGCCATGTGACGGTCTACCTTGCTCTAATCAGGTGGGGACGTTTAATGGTGTTGGGCCCTAAGCCTATCAACTGGAACTGTGGCTTTGCACCGCCGTGAATGACAAATGGGGAGAGAGTGGTAGTGAATGGAGGAAAGAGAGAAAAGGGTTGGTGGGGAGTTTGAGGAGCAGTTTGAGTCACTTTCTGTGGGTGGTTTGTGCAGTTTTTTTTTTTTTATCAGGACGACAGCAACAGATGTCCCAACGTACATGCTGTGCTGTGCTGTGCTGTGAGGGATACTCACATCTAGCTGCATGCTATGGCTCTGCCCCTCCTGAAGAAGCCACCCAGGGCTCTGCTGGTGGTTGAAGATGCTGATGGGTAGCTGGGAGCCTTCGTTGCATGTAGGGCAGGGTGATATGGCTAAAAATATTTATCACGATATAAATGAGAAAATTTGCGATAACGATATAACTGATGATATAACTGCACAACATTATTGGTGCATAGTGGCGGGGGGAATATTCAGACCGACGGGGTGGAAGTGGGCGGGACGCACAGGCACTACTTGGCTGCTACATCAGTTTAGGATAGGTCACAGTTCTGTTTCCACCATCGGGTGGTGGCGGGCGAATATTCGGATCTCAAAATTGCTATCCGGACATCACCACAACTGCAGAATATTCCAATATTCGGGTCCAGCCCTACTGTGTCGGTCGATGCTTTCGCCCTCCTCCTCAGTCGATGCACTGCTTCTCTCTCCATGTGCGTTAAACCGGACGAAAACAACGGCCCTGTGCATGTGCGTTTCAGTCATTTTATCGCGATATTTCAATTTCATACCATCCCCTAACATTACCCCGGTATGATATGGCCCAGCCCTAATTGCATGTCATCCCTTCTCTCCCCATGTTTTCAGCCTAATGCCCCAGAAATGACCAGTTGGATCTTTCTTCTTGTTTTAATTTGAAAATATGACATTTTTAGCTGCTCTTAATTGTCCTCGTGAAAGTGTGAACAATTATTCAGAGCAATTTTCCAGAAGATACTCACCCCTGCAAACTATTAGTTTGGATCTAAGTGCTGTGGTCGTGTCCTGCTCAAGGGTTGATAAGTGGCTCTCCGTCGTTCCAGCTCCCTGGAGATATAAAAGCTTTCCCCGACATCTAGTGGGGGAATCTAGGCTAATACTGCTCCATATTGAAGCTGTCTCTCTGTCCCCAGAGAGCAAATGCACTGTTAGCAGCCTCTGTTGTGCCAAGTTTCCCTTCCCCTTCCTTGTCTTGCAGAATTTATTTTTCCGAAGTTACTTTACAGCTTTACAAACACGTCCCTTCATCACAGAATATCACCGTTTTCCTCGAGAAAACTCAGGTGTGTGAGTGTCTTATGGTTTTGAGGGGATGTTTTGGCCTGATGAGAATGATCCAGTGCATACATAGCGAGACATTTAAAGCTTTTAACCAAACAAACATGTTATTTGTATAGATCTCATTTTATAAAAGCCACATTTGCATAATTGTGAATGCTGTTGCACCTGTATGTGAGTGCAAATCCTCTCCAGCCCAGTTTTATTTGCTGTAACATTAGCCGTTCTTTATATTGACACCAGGATTATAACATCCTGTAACGTCTGTGAACAGTAGTCTATTGTGTCGGTGCCACATTCATCTGGGGAAGCAGCTTTCCTTTTTCTCATTACAAAAACGAGACAAACATTTAGTTCTTTAAGACTTATAAAATCATATTTATGTCATTGTCCCAACATTTTGTGTACAGCTAGAGACTGGATTTCTCTGTTATGAGATTTTCTAGCAGAGTAATGTCACTTGCATTGTGTGTCTTATAATCTCTTCAGTTGGTATTTTCTTAATGAAAAACCTAAAAGGACATCGTTAATGGTTAATCCCCAGTTTTCTACACCTGTTTACCAGATGTCCTAGTTTATTTATTACAAGACGAATTATAAAAATAAACCTTTTGCTTTATGACTGCATTTGAAAAGCAGTCATTAGATTCATCTGTCACAACCTTCAGCTCACGCTTCCTTTTTCTTTGTCCCTCGGTTAATGCGTCCACACACACACACAACCACATTTAGGGTTTCTAACTAACCTCCTGACCCACAGACTCTGTTCCCGGGTATCTGGCTCGCTGGCGTCTGTATTTATAGAGCAGCTTTAACACTATATATCCACCGCTCTTCTTTTTGCAGGCTTGCCGTGAGCTCGCGCCCCTGCAATCAATATCCACCTCTCACACATTTCTCGCTCATTGTATGGAGCTGCAGCTTGCGTAAATGCTGCCGGTTTTGCTCGGGAATCAGTGGTTTTTTGCTTCGTTGAAATTCAACTAAATGAAATCTTAATTAAGATTTGTGTATCTATTATCTAATATTGAGACTGAGCGTGTATATTTGGATTCCGATGCATTCAACAGTTTTGCTAATTTTCTGCAGTATGTTTTTGAGGCATGAGCGCATTTGTCAATATCTGCATTCGTTCTGAAGCCCTTTCCAAGAGGCAGGACTTTCAGAGATTTCATCCAGTCCCTGAAAATGATTGCCACTGTGCACACCCCATGTCAAACGCTGTTAATCTGCAGTTTCAAGGGATAAGCTGCAGCATCTGTGTTGAGTTTACAGCGGGCCAGTTGTAGGTTTTTTTTGACATACTTTTAACGCAGCGTTTTATTACGAAAGAGGTGTTGGTGAGAGGGTTTATTAC